CACTGGATTCAGTATTCAATATAAGTGCCAGCTTAGAAATAATTTCACTGAAAAAAATAACTTCAGATACAACATTATTTGTCATTATATTGGAATATATAGTACCATCTTCTGAGGAGTGTCGTCTACCAGGTTGTCTCGGTGCCTGCAATGATGGCACAACAAATGCTATTTCACACATAACATCAGCATAATATAATACTTGTCTATCACCATTATAAAGACCACCTCCATGATTGGTAATGTCGGCAGAATATAAGCCATCATCGGTGTGGGAAAGCCCTGTCATTAGAAATAACATATACATTTAGGCAGTCAGTCAGTCAGTCTGTCTGTTTGTCTGTCTGTCTGTCTGTCTGGTCGATACAGACATATTTATTACAAGAAACTATATAAGGTCAAACAACAATTTCTGTATTTAAAATAAGCATTAAATTGAGTTTTTTAATTTTTCTTGAAAATTGAATTCGTCTACAGGTGACAAACATTTTCTAGGTGGCTGGGAACGTGATTACTAATTAGTACTATGACTAATCTACCTACTATTATTATTATTTATAGATATTATACCAGATAATATAAAGTAATAACAAATTATATTTGAAACAAAAACAGCGAAAATATTTGCATTGCTGACCAAATAAAACCATGGTGATCCAGATATCTGTGATCCAGATATAAGTTTTGGCCTCAAGAGGGCGCTATACAGACTGCATGTGTTAAATATTTGTTTTATTTTTAAAACACAGGAAAAGGCACAAGACCAATGACACATAAAAACAACTGCTCAATTTTGCCATTTTTGATGAAAATTTAAAAAGAGTGTCTACATGTGTGAAAAATTTCTCTGCTGTCTAAGGTAGTTCATTACAGAGATGCAATACGGCAAATTACGAATGAATCAGCAATCTGTGGGATCAGTATCAAACTACTTCCTGTTTACAAGGAATCTAATATGGGGACCAAAGCATGAAACTAATCATTATGAAATTTGTAAACATAGATGCTACTTATCAAATTTTTAATCGATATGTTGCATGGTTCTGAAAAAAAGAGATTTTCAAGCATGTTTTGTTGTTTTTCACCCTTTTTGAAATATTAAATATGATGAAAAAATTCATGTGGGCACTACAGTTATTATTCATAAAAATAGGTAGCCCATAAACCCAGAATGGTAGACTCTCAGAAAAAGTTCAAAATGGCCACTCCTGGTTTAACTTGTTCAAAGATGGCCGACAAAGTAGTGGAGGAAACACATTAAAGGGGAACTAAATAAAGCCTATTTTGGTGTTTGTATTTATCAAGTTATGTATATTGATTATAAATTTGAAAAAAAAAATTAAAAAAAATGATTATCTTTAGAGTTATGATGATTTAAATATGAGAAACCATAAACCTGCGAAGGACTTCCGTTTGCGCCATCTTGCCATAAAAAAACGCCTTCATGAGGTATAAACAGGTAAGGTAACAAAGCATGATGACGAAATAGTATCTGATTAAATATAAGCAACTTAGGGAGCCATAGTTGGCTGGAATGGTGAATTGACTTCTCGTCTAGGTTGTTTCGACTTTTACGTTAATGTTATTTACAAGCGTATCAACATACAAACATTATGGATGTGCGATTGATCGAGACAGGCATTTTGTTTTGTTTTTTGTCTGTCTAATAAATGATGTTTCCAGTACTGCACTGTGCGGCGTGCAAATTATTCAAAGTATCGATGCTGGAGTATGCAATCTTGAGTTCGTAGGTGGTGGTGGAAACATTTTCGTCCATGTATTCACGGGGCTGCACTGGCAAATCATGGGACAATTGTCACAGGAACACCAAGCAGATTGTTCACAGACTTCCGTGTAATTTGAACAAGGGGCATCGTCGACGATATACTCTCATCACTCACACTGGACTGATCTGAATCTTCACAGTATACCGTACTTCCCTGAGCATAAGTCCGGAGGCATGAACACGTAAGAGAAAAGTAAGAGATGAGCTTATACTTGAGGACCAACTCAGAAAAGATGATTTTGTTTTGGGGTTAAACACTGTAACATCT